GAACGTGCCATAATGTATCAGCGCTCGCACACGCAAACGCAAACATATATTCATTCTTTTGACGCTTTTACCATTTATTAGCATGGTGATATTCTTCATAATTCACAGAACATCGAAATTAGAGAATTATAATTTTATTGCTCGATGCTCGTCTCGTATATTGTCGACATAATCCTTTTGTCGAATGATAATGAGATATATCAAATTATAAAATGCATTTTCATCATTATACTGACACATAATAGCATTTGATAACAATAATATTATTAAATATGCGTATAGATTTAACTCGACGAAACCATTGATTTGATAAATACACATCGGGAATCGTTTATCTCGTGAAATTTACGTGACTCTATTACCCGTAAGCCACCAGTCAAATGTAGCGTAATGTAAGAAAAAAAAAATTTTCTTTTAATAATTAAAAATATGCATTAATTCTTTAAGCGAGCACAATTTAATAGTTGATCCATCGATTGTAATTCTCTTTTAATTCACGTATTATTATTAACTTTCTAACGGGGCCTCGAACAAACCAATCAAACGACAAATGACAGACACGTTATTCGTTAAAAAAAAAATATTTTTTTTTTTTTTTGCTTCAAATAACAACATTTCTCGTACCAATAAATAGATTGAAAAGAAATTCAAAATTACCTAATAAGATTAAACATCGTGTTCTTTCCATACATCGTGAAACTGCTCGTGCATCAAAGTGAAAACATCCCTGGGATTAAAGGGGGGGGGGGCGGAATGAAAAAGGAAGTCACGCGCTTGAGAGCACATAGTTATTTTTCAACGAGCAGCGCACAGAAAAGCCTGCTGAGGGAGTGTGAAAATCAAATTCGGTCTTGCTGCTCCTTGTGTGTACCTGCGGTGACATTGCATATACTTTCTCGAGGGATGAGAAGGTGCTACAGGAGAGATAGTGCTGTTTATGATGTGTCTGCAGATTGAAGTGTATGAAATACATAACTTGTGGTGAAATTTAATCTTAGAAAAAAATTTCATGAAATTTTCCATTCACTCCTGCAACAACGAGTCAACGACAACGCCCTTCTCACCATAAAACAGAAATCACATTTTTCTCTTACATTTTTTACAATATCGCGCAAGCTTTTACTTATTTAACGCGACCGACAGACAGAACAGCATCCTAAGTTTATACGTAATACGTATGAACTCGGATGATCCAATTACAATATTGACAAATAAGCTCGCAAATATACTAATAAAATATTAATCGTGTGCATTTGCTCATGCGCAATTTGGGCAATAATTATAATATTATTATTAACGTATAAGTTTTATTCCAAGGCATTAAGAAAGTGAAATGAAAATGTCTAAAGCCATGGAGTTATCACAGATATTCTTCAATGAGATATGGCAAACGTTTTTCGAGTCGTAAAAAAATTTGATTAGCGGTTTACAGCTTATTTCAATTTTACATTTGATGATAGATAAAATTTTGATACGTTAAGGGCAAGAGTGCTTTACGAACTTCATTTTAAATTTAAATGCGAAAGGTAAAATTGAGTCCGCTGGTCAGGCGAATGCAAGTCGTTAAAGAAGCATACTCGTTAAATTTTGAGATACGAGACGAAATTTTACCACCTTTAGGGATAGCCCTATTAATATACACATACGTACTTGTATACTTGGGCGTGATGAGCTGTTTTCCTTAATCATTGTTGAGTTGTATTTAAAAAAGAGAGAAAAAAGAAGAAGAAAATTAAGTATATCGTTTAATGTAGCGTTATTAATGTTAATCTCTTTGTTTTTTTTTTTTTTTTTTTTTTTTTTTTTTTTTTTTTTTTTATCAACGATAAGCATTTTTTAATCATTGCCTTCTTCTACATTTGTTTCTAAATTCTACGATTAAAAAAATTTCTACAAACACATGATCACTCAGAGTTCAGAATTTACAGCAAATAAATTCTTTACTCTCGTACTTCTGCGGTTTAATTAGTCGAAATAATATGCCTATCCTTTATTTTGTGTTTGTTGTATTATAAAATGATTCGATATACACTTAAGATATTAATGCCATATTTGCATTTATTATAATCATTTAATACTTTGCCATATTGTTTGATAGAATTGAAACTTTTGCACGTCTTTTAAGTGATGAGTCGATTAATTTAAATACTGATAAATAATTTATAACTCGTACTTCTTTTTTTCCCTTACGGTTATTATTATGGGTAACAGCATATTACGGATCCTGATTTTTCTACTTTCTGTTTTTTTCTTTTAATCAATAGTGACACGTGTATGCGTGTGCTTGGGGAATATATTTATAAGTTTTTAAATTGAAATTCGATTCATAATTCTGAAGATTCAGCTGAAAATCTGGCTTACGACAGTATATGCACCGTACTTTAAAAGCACTTTTCTCCAAATCACATTCAACGTTAATCTACATAATAACATAATAACTATTATTTCAAATGTGAAATTATCTACTAAATAATATCTACGATTGAATAACAATGGGTTGATTTACTCTTTTTCCGTTTCTTTTTTTCTTTCAAACCACCACCACCACCACCACCACCACCACCACCACCACCCCTTAAAATGTAAAGACTTTTTATAGGAAATTACATTTTATAAATTCCAAAGTTTTTTAAACACTTAATAGGTGCATCTAAAAATTGTCCTTTTATTCATAGAATTTTATCGATATTTTTATTTTAGAATATTGTATTACTAAGTATTACGAGCCGGAGTGCTCATATCGCTTTATATCTTCGACGACAAAGCATCGGCAATTTAGTTGCCATAACGCCATCTATAAGAAGCTTTTGTATCACTAAAGAGTTCTTTTCTTAACTAAAATAATACATAAATTACTACCAAAGCTTTAGAAGGAGTGGCTTTCTTTTTTGTAAAATAATAATTCCTCCAGAATTAATTTTTTGTTTATCAATTTGCTTATCTTATTTACTTTACTTTGATCTTTGCATATGAAAAATCATTTTCGTCGTAATATAATTTTTTTGTATAAATCTTTTTTGATCCATCACCGTGTGTATACGCATTGTGATGCGTATAATATAGTATATGTAAAACAATGATTGTGTATTTAGTTGTAAAATATTAATTTGTTTTTACCAAAAGCTTTTTCTAAAATTCATTAAACGTTGATTAAGGATTAACGAGTATGAATACTTATGAATACGAAGGGGATGTTACATGCTACGATAAATAACAATATTTTAATAATAAAACAATGAAACAATATATTGATGTTATGAAGGACAAGAGTTGCTTTACATAGATTATAAATTTATACTTATTAGCGTATTGTAGTATCAAAGTTGTATCTAATGGTAATATCGTATCTATTAATAAATGATTTCAAGTATCAAATTTGAAGTTGAAAATTGGTTAAACTCTTCCACGCACTCGATCGAGGAATTTGTATGTTTTTGAAAATGTAGCACCCCTCGGTCAACTGATAAAATACACATTAAAACCAGCATGGCGTAATTAGAGAACAGAAAATATTTGTTTTACGTAAATTGAAGATGTTTTCTTTGTCTTTCGCATAGTTTTTTAATACCATCTATTTTTTCTATAATGTACTTTTTGCTAATAATAAATTAACGATATTAAAATTTTTTTTTTTTTTTTTTTTTTTTTTTTTAAATATCAGAATATTTCTAACAGTTTATCAATCAAAGTATCATCGTGTAGTTGTCGCATAATACGCGAATTTTATTCGATGACGATATGTAATTGGCATCCACTAAACAGCGAGACCAATTGATCGCTGCTCCTATTCAACATTTACATGAATATTTTTCATTTACGCCTGATAAAAAATACTGTCAAAGCGGTATTTTTAACGCCCTGTGCTGAATAATTGGCAACGCGTCAATGATAAAAGGGCGCCCATCGATAATCATTAATTAACTCGTCTGTTTTACGTGGAGCCTTGAAAGAAAGGATCTTGATCGTAACGATAAAAGGTTTACGGATTTTTCAGATTTTATTCATTTCAATGAAATAATTAACAAATATTAATTAGTATTCATATATCTCACTTTTGCGATCCGTAATTGCTATGTTAAACTCGAAGAGCTTGATTATTTATAATTATATAAATTTATCGTATCTATCTGTAATCTTTTCATATCTTATCATCTCAATTATTCTAAAATTGGCAAATTAATGATTTGTAAAGATAATAGAAAGTTATCAATATTTTTGTAAAAATGCCCAATCTCATAATTAAAATTATATTGTTTATCATTTGAAGAATTAATAATAACCTATTGTATGATTGTTTATTTAAACGTCCCTATGAAGCTGAATGTTGTATCTGTAATTTTATTATTAATAAATGAGAGATTGTACGTAATATTCTTACGATTGAGTAGTAAAGAACAAAAAAAATACTAATTCTATAAATTGATTTGCACTGTCCCAACAAATTGTGCATTTTTCATATTATTCGTTTCGACTGGATTCTCCATTTTAATAACGATCGACATGTACGACATGTATTCGCTTATTATTTATCAGGTCTTAATTATGCTGGATACATTGAATGAGACACAAGTATATTGCATTGTCCTGAGGAATTTGGCAAGTGTAGTATAAACATTATCGGTGATCACGCGTCTAAGAATAATGTATGCTTGGTAGGACGTAGGAGGAGCAGTGCTACATTACATTATTCGAGCCAATTTCTCAGGAGCATAAATGATGCGTTACACTCCCCCCCCCCCCCAAACGCAAGCCAATAAATTATATATATATATATATATATATATATATATATAAGCGTATAATCGACATTTAATAATCGGAATCACCATGAGAAAAGTAGACGACCCGCTTAAGCTGGAAAATAAACAAAAGGGATTGGTCGCATCATTCTCATTCACTCGGTTTACAACTCGGGGCTTATCTCATACGGCATTGTTCTCATACCTCGACCTTCGATCGATCACAGCGTAATATCGAATTGCCTCTGTTGTAGATTGCAGATACACGAGCCGGCCTGGGCCACCTACAAAATGAGCGTTATAATTAGGCTGCAGAATCTGGCGTGGTCCGCCAATGCCCTCGACATCCGGCAGTTCTTCCGTGGACTCAGTATACCGGAAGGCGGCGTACACATCGTTGGTGGCGAGTTGGGCGATGCTTTCATAGCCTTTAGGTGAGACTACGTTTGTTAATTCGAACCGTAACAATGTTGCGCATACCGATCCGGTGTAAGTGTTTGAATGTGTGTCTTCTCGTACTATTGGGTCGACGCATTGAATGTACTGGCAAAATTGGATTAAATTACCACCGACGACGATCTCTATTTATGATGAATATCCAATAATAACTGTAATTATTCAAACTATTATGCGGACATGAGAAATTAATGTCTGTAGCCTTTTAAACAATAGATACCTTAATAATAATAATAATAATAATAATAATAATAATAATAACAACAACAATAATAATAACAATAATAATAACAATAATAATAACAATAATAATAACAATAATAATAACAATAATAATAACAATAATAATAACAATAATAATAACAATAATAATAACAATAATAATAACAATAATAATAACAATAATAATAACAATAATAATAACAATAATAATAACAATAATAATAACAATAATAATAACAATAATAATAACAATAATAATAACAATAATAATAACAATAATAATAACAATAATAATAACAATAATAATAACAATAATAATAACAATAATAATAACAATAATAATAACAATAATAATAACAATAATAATAACAATAATAATAACAATAATAATAACAATAATAATAACAATAATAATAACAATAATAATAACAATAATAATAACAATAATAATAACAATAATAATAACAATAATAATAACAATAATAATAACAATAATAATAACAATAATAATAACAATAATAATAACAATAATAATAACAATAATAATAACAATAATAATAACAATAATAATAACAATAATAATAACAATAATAATAATAACAATTAAGCTTAATAACAACGACTGCATTCTTCATTTGGAAATCATCGTTGCATAGTTGTATGAAAGTATTGCGATAAAACCGTATTTAAGAGTTTGTCGGTGTCAAATTTTTTCAATTTATTTAAAATTTTTATTTTTATGGTAACAAAAAAAAAAAAGAAAAATCGGTTTCGAGTAATTTTTACCTCTTTCATTTCCTTAATAAATGTTAAGCCATTGGATGCACGTGTAAAATATCTTTAATTCGGCATTTAACGATATTGGCATTAAGCACATAAGAATATCTTAAATTTTCATTAACAAAACGAATTTTACGCATTTAAATAACAATTATATTCAATTAACAAATATAATAAAGAAGATGAAAAAAAATTGACTAATGTTGAGTTTTCCATTTTAATTGGCAAATTGTTATTTTAGTAATTTTCTATATATATAGATATACTGGATAAAGTTAAATTATTGACAATTATTGACGTGGCAATATATTTTGTGAAGCCATAATCCGTAATCATAATCGGAAAACTTTGATGTCACTTAATATCGAACTTAATTATCATATCGATGAACTCGATAATCGACGGTTTTAGCTTTGCCGACTATCACCCAACGTTTAAAAGCTTATAAAAATGAAAAAAGCCATACTGTTTTGGGATCGCGTTATAAACGAGTTTACCTTGACATTTTCCCACATTAGCTTAGCCGATGAATTTATTGGTTGCGCAGAGAGGAGGAGGAGGCTTGACAAAATCACGCTCGTACACGGCATTCATTATCCATAATAAAATTTTACAGCACAGACGAGGATGCGCGTCAGGCTATGATGCAGGATGGCGGCAAGATCAAGGAAATGAAGATAAAACTGCTACTGAGCTCGCGCACGGAGATGCAAAAGGTGATAGAGGCCGCGCGGCAACAGACCCTTAACCTTCAGAATGCATTTATGCAATCGGCGGCGCCGGTGGCGGTCGCACCCACACCACCGACAATAAGCAAACCAGGTGGCCCGAACGACAACAACGGTGGCAACAACCGTAGCAGAGATCGGGACCACGACAGCGACAACGGGAAGGATCGCAAGGACCGCAGGAGCGACAGGTCGCGATCGCGCGATAGGTCTAGGTCCCGCGACCGCGATCGCGACCGAGACCGTGACCGCGATCGTCGCGACAGGGACCGGGGCGGCAGGGACAGGCGGGGGGGCGGTCGCCGAGACAGAAGCCGCTCGCGCGATCGGGAGCGCGACCGCAGGGACCGCAGGCGTAGACGCGACAGGTCGCGATCGCGCGACCGTACGCGCTCGCGCGATCGTGACATGAAGCGCGGCGGTCCCGATCGCCGCAAGGACAACAGCTCGATGGAGGATGACTCGGGCAACGACGTCGTCTGCGTCGGTCAATTCACCAAGGATAAGGTTGGCGGTGGCATCGGTGGTGGCGTCGGCGGCGTAGGTGGCGTCGGCGGTGTCGGTGTTGGTGTCGGTGGTGGCGTCGGAGGAGTAGGAGGTGGCGGCATAGGCGGCGGCGGCGGCGGTGGCGGCGGCGGCGTCGGCGGCCCAATGGGCCCCAACAAGAAACCCGGCTTGTCGGAGAACGGCGTCTGGGAGGTTCCACCGCAGAATCAGATGCAGGCCGTCCTCGTGCCCGGTCTTCTAAACGCCGTGGCTGCCTCGGTTATGCCCTCGCAGGACGGGGAGCAGCGGACCGGGCCGTTCAGCCTCGGCCAGGGCTCGATGCTACCATCGGCCCCGTACGGCCTTAACGGCCTCAACGGCGTCGGCGGTATGCTCGCGTCTCAAATTTCTCCCCTCGGTCATTCAATGGCCAATCCACTGTCCTCGGCCCTGGGCGGCTCCCTAACCGGCGGCCCCAACAATATGAACAGTCGCAATAATCGCGAGCCTTGGAACGATAGGATGGACGGCAACAGATACCAATCAAGATCGAGCCCCTTCGGCCAGGACTCGAGCTTCGGCTCCAACAATGGCAATTCCGGCCTGGGTAGCTTCAGGCCGGGCATGAAACCACCGCCGAATAATCTTTTCCTTAGTAAAGTACAGGAATTGGATAGTCGTAGGAATCCGCACGCCTTTCAAGCATCCTCCCATCGACCGTTCGAGAACGGACCCGATCGACAGCAGGGCTCCTCGAGGATGGACAGAGACAATCGCGAGGGCCGTGACAATCGGGACAGAGACAATAGAGACACGAGAGACAGGGGATCCGGGAATTCGCGTTTCGCCAAGGATAAGTCGCAGACTGGATACTGCGTTGAAGTGCGAAATATGCCGTTGAACGCGAGTTACAGCGACGTGCGGCACGCGTTCCAGGGTATTTACATAAGGAACGACGGGATAAAATTGATTACCGACACGCAAGGTAATCGCGTGGGCATCGCCTACGTCAAGTTTGGCAGCTTCGAGAATAAGGAGCAGGCGCTGAAGGGTACGAAGTACGTACGCGGCTCTGAGGTCGAGGTACTACACCTGGAGGAAGCGATATTCGACAAAACGAACGACTCGTTCGGCGTGTCGGATAAGTCGAGGCAGGACAAGATAGACGACGTGGAGATGGACATTAGCCCAACGCCGTCCAGCTGCGTTTTGGTCTCGGATCTGCCGTCCTTCGTGAAGGAGATGGACATCGCCAAGCTCTTCCAAGATTGGAAGATCAACGATCTATTCATAACGAGCAAGAAGGAGTCGAGCGGCACGCAGTACTACGCGTACGTGCAATTCGCGAGGCTCGACGACGCGAAGCTCGCGCAGTCCAAGTCGCTGAAGATGGGCTCGAAGTCGGTGACGGTGACATCGATAGCCGAGGAGAAATTCGAGCAGGCAAAGGGCGATCACGAGCAGATGAGCAACAGCAGCGTAAGCGGTGGCACGGGCGACAACGGCGCGAGTTTCGATTGCATAATAATGCGCGGCCTGCCCTACCAGACGATCGACCGCGACATTCTCGACTTCTTTTCCGATATTGGCATCGTGCCTCACCGCATCCACATGCTGCTCAATCAGAGCGGCAAGCCGGCCGGCGAGTGCTTCTGCGAATTCGACTCGTGCGAGGAGGCGGTGCGAGCCACCGCCAAGAACGGCCTGCCCCTCGGGAAGAACATCCCGACGATCGAGCTCGTTAATAGGAACAAGATGCTGGAGACCCTCGGTCTCGTAGACAGTAATAAAATGCTGGATGGACACCAGCAGCACTTTGCGCACTTGCAGGACCCGAGGCCACGATTCTCACCCATGCACCATCCGCCCCGATTCGCGGGCGTCGGCAATGCGTTCGGCATGAGGGGGCCACCGATGCTCGGCATGCCCCCGCGGCACATGATGGGCCGGCATCCGCCCGTAGCCCCGGCCTCCTTGGAGGGCTTCGGCAAGCCCGGCTGCGTCGTCTCCTTGGAGAACGTGCCCTTTAAGGCCGATATCGACGAGATAATCGACTTCTTCGCGGACTTCACCGTGCTGCGCGAACACGTCATCAGAAGGTACAACGACAAAGGGATGCCGACCGGTGACGCGAGGGTGGCCTTCTCGTCGCCCGCTGAGGCGCAGAGGGCACTCCGTGAATTGAGAAACCAGAAGATGAGGGATCGAACGATCTATATGAAGATCGCTTGAGAGCGGTACGAGGTGCAGAGAAATCATTGTGATGCCGACGTGTCCATTGCTCGGGACGTACCCGAGTAAATGGGACACCGAGTGCGACCGCCGTCGTATGTTCGCGCGAGCCTTGGGGGCCACGACGACCGCGGGATGGACTGCGGGCGTTGACGAGCCAAGCAGTCGAGTCTCGATATCCCGACGGCGGAAGAGATCGTGCTCGAGAGTAGGCCGACTCGATTGAGTTTTGCTCTTGCTCGCATCCTCCTTCTCAACAAAGCCTGGACATTAGAAAAATGTACTACTTTATGTTTGTACCTTGATACTTACGGATTAACGATTTAATTGCCGACATGTCGACAAAAGTGTATGTGAACATAATAGAAGAGACATTTGATAATTCATCATTACTCTCGTTTCTCATAAAGACAAATTTATTTTTTCATCGATTAAATAATAGAATTAGAATTGAATAGAAGAGTCTAGTTACTCTCTCATGAAATTAGTCGTTTCAGCGAAAATAATTTTGTTTTTATTTTCATTATTTTCATTTTTTTTTTTTTTTTTTTTTTTTTAACTGGAGATTAAGATTACGCGTGTATGCCTGTATGTCTGTGTGTATGTATGTATGTATGTACGTATGTATGTACGTATGTATGTACGTATGTATGAATGTATGTATGATGATGATGATGATGATGATGATGATGATGATGATATAGGCTGCGAAGAATGATACGTTAAATATGTAGGTTAAATGGAAAAGGATATAGTATGATTTTTAAAGGACATGAAATGCAATATATTTGCTTAAATAATTGCATCGCATTAAATTGTCATCTCGTTATTTGTATCATTATAGATTCTTTTGGATGGTATTTAATTATATTTTCAAAATGTACGGATAAACGATTTAAAAGGAATACATCCTAGTCGCTTTGTAGTTTATAGTTGCAATTCTGATTATGTATATAGACGTCGCTGAAAGAGAAAAAAATCTTATTGTTATAATATGATTGGGTGCCAATTAGCTTATTCGTCGAACGAAAGTTTGAAAACAAACATAATAATCATCAATTTAATAAAAGAAATAATTAAATTTCTATTTTGTCACCGATAATGTGCTCGCCTGCCTATTAAACGATAATGCTGCAGCAGATGCAGCTGGCGTTTTCTTCGATTGTGGCACCAATTCGTTAAAATCCGATTCGTGCACTATATATACCGTGACTCACTAACTTACTTCCCGATGAGTTAATTAATTAGCCTCGCGCGGACGATGAGTTGCTTCCCCAACTCATTTGCAATCGACCGAGCAGCAACCATACAATGATTCCCATTTACCGCGTGTAAAGCCTACTTTTATTTACTTTACTCCTTTTAGTAAAATCGAGTCTCTATCCCCTATCCCTACCCCAACCCTCCTCACTGAACGAATCGATGATTTTTAAATAATAAATTAAATGTCACGATATGTATACGGCCGAAAATGTGCTGTAGATTAGTGTCCAGCGCAGCGGCTTACTCCGCCCAAATTATCTTGACATCAGAATAAACGTTGTTACAGTAGTAATAAAGGGTCGTGGTGGCCCTTTGTTATCAATTATCATCAACCGATGTAGTGACTGCATATTTTAATAAGCACTGGTTATTTTCCTTTTACTTTATATTGAACATACGAATCTAAATACTTTGACCTTAATCAGTGATATCGATCGCATCTTGTTTGAATCTGACCGATTTTTTTTCATATACCTTAGCGAAATAAAATTGTAATTATTCTTGATATGACGTCACACTATGAACACATGTTTTCGCGAGAGCGTGTGCGTAGGTGTCAATTGAATTCGGTCTAACTACGTCCACTATATTGCCAAACCCATTCTCAAATTTAACTAATGACTTTATCTTCCGAGGTATGGAAGACATTGTAGAGCCATTTTATTCCGTAAAAACGCGGAAAAACTTTGCATGACATCCTGTATTTACTAGATCAATGTTTTGGATTATTATGAAATGCCTCGATTAGTTATGCCGAAGTAATTTCGATTGAGTGCAGATATGTTACAGTCATCGAGGCAACTTTTTTTTTCGTTTTTTCGTTTTTTCGTTTTTTGTTTTTTTTTTTTATCTCAAGAAACCAGAGATTAATATCTATAACAATCTAAATCAAATCGTTTTCGTAGCAGGATGATCTTCAAGATTATTTTTTTTTTTTTTTTTTTGTTTGTTTTGTGTACAGTAAATGCTTCGATAATGAAAAGACACCATCGATTCTACTAAACTTTCATTTTTCTAATCGCTGACAATCTTCGTTTATAAATTTGCAATACATAATGTAATTTCGAAAACGAAAGTTAAATTCGAAAATATTGAAAACAACGCCAACATTTCAACGAGTAGCGTGAAATTACTGTAGGAATTTCCGAAAATTATCGGTTTAATAATTTCTATCGAACTTTGTATAAAATATATGTATAAGAGAGCGAAGTAATTTGGTTTGTTATTTATAATAAGCAAGGACTATTCCTTTTATCGAATAATAGGATATAAAAAGAAATAATAGAAAAATTGTATAGCGAATCACTATACCAGAACCAAAAGGGTATTTATGCTGTTTGTAATTTACTTTCCTTTTCTCTTCACCTTAATATTCATTGTACATATTAAAATTATTTTTGCGTTTAAATGGCTAATATGTAAAAAGTATATAAAAGGTCAAGAAATACTTGTTATTGTATTGTAAGGAATACATGTAATGCCTGTTGTGAATGATTAATAAGTGCGCACATAAATAACTTATGACTTTTAGAGAATATGTGTCGAGCATAAGTAAATCTCTATAAGAAAGTTATAACATTAATTTCAATAAATTTGTATTAAATATCAGAAAGTCCTTCGTATTTTTTATCACACCTCCTCCTTCGTATGATATATTAGAGGCCGAAACATGATATATTCTTGTAATTAATTAATTAAGTAACTTTTAATATTGCATATTCACAAATTTTAAATTTCATCAGCTGTACGTATACTTTGTTCATAGACAATCAAAGTAGATTATAAAATTATACTTATATAAAATATTTAATAGTAAAATAATATTTACACGAACGAAAATCTTTTATATTGAAACAAAAAACACACATTACAGTTAATTTTACTCCTCTACGTAAATAACTATTATAAATTTTTCTATAATATTGCATAACAATAAAAATACTTTCCTATTTAACTTCAATAATTTTGTTTGAAATTTCTTAAATTTCTTGGGTAAAAAAAAGTTTTTTTTTTTTTTATTTTAAAAAGTTTTCTCTGTCATTCTCACCGTTTTAATCAAGTTAAACGTTTTTAATAAGAATTAATTATGATTATCTCACTTTATATTTTATTAATTTTTACTCTTTTATATTGCCTGAAAATAAAATGTATCTTATAAATATAGAAAAATCGTTTAATCGTTTGGGCGAATCCGTGTTTTACTGAAAGAGGAAATTTTTAAATAACAAATTGAAAATTATATTTCATATAATACTACGGTCGTGCAGTTAGTTGCGTAAATAATGAAAATAATGAAAATAAAAAAAAAAGACACGTATGTAAATTATTTTGTTATTATCCTGTCATTCCGAAGAATTTCAAAACAATATGAAACGTGTTAATGCTAATATAATAGGAATTCTTTAAATACTTTATATAATTATAATAAATTTCATTTTCTTTCAAAATTATAAGAATTTGAGCATCATCAATTTATTTATTTATTTATTGTTATTATTTTATTATTATTATTATTATTTTTTTTTAATTAATCAAGTGACAGTTTAATGTAGAAACAAAACATTGTCAATGTTAATATGACCGATATCTGTATTGATAATATTCCTTGGCAGTTGCCAGTAAGTTAAAATATTTCATTTTATTAATGTCATTAGTAAAACAATTATCCTAAACAATACACTAAAAATCATTCAAAAATTTGTGAACGCTAAAACATCTTTGAGCTCTTCAATTCGAGAATATAAATATACATGTACTTATTGTTGCTACTACTCGCACAGGTGAACGACATCGCATATACAATGAGCGTATTTTTTATTTTTATTTTTTTTTTTTTTAAGCCATTATTACATAGAATATTCAATGATGTTCGAAAAAGTTCGAAACAAGTTCGAAAAGGCTTATTCACAATGAGAAAACTCAAATTTACAATTGTATCGACAGGCTGCATAATGTTTTCTCAGCGGATCTTCTTTTTGCTAATACATCCGCGGTACTGAATTACATAATGAATGATGAAAAATTTCCTAGGACACTCCCGGCTATAATTATCCCATAATATTCTGCTACAAGCATGACTACATTTTCCAAATGCTTGTTTAAGTTGCGTTCTCCATCAATGATTAGTATTTGTCTTAAGTATTTACCTTAAACCTGATGATTAAGCGATGTTTAAATGCAAGTGTACACTTCTGCTCGGCCTTTTATTCTAAAGTTTGGAAATTACATTTCTTACAATGATGATTTTGCTTTTGCTACAAGACTCGAGAGAATAATATCGAATGAATGATATTGCCACTTTACGATATTAAAAGAAACGGAAGTTGTGCTTGCAGTTGAGATAATAGTTTTTTCTATGTGGCAATGTTTAACTATTTGCCAGAAATAAAGTACAATTGTATTATAGGAAAAGGAAACATTCGAAATAATGTTTTTTTCTTCTTAATTAATATATCTATTTATATTTATGATATATTTCATAAAATACCTATATAAATCTAGACTTTTTCATCAAATAACGTGTACTGGAATATACCATTCGTTCAAATCCTATGGATAAAATCTAAAATCTAATTAAAAATTGTAGGAGAATAGGGTTAATAATTTATTATTAAAAGTCAAAATAAAAACGTCAGATTTGCGCAATACAAGTAAGTACGAAACGGAATTTTTTTTTTAATCTTCCAATTCCTTTTTTATATAGTACGATGTTATTATTTATCTAATATTTGTTCAATAGGAATTATGTAAGTATTCATGAGGTAAATTTGTCGATTTTGTTCAATATATCAAATATATTTCTACGTAATTACAGACAATTTGTAACGTATAATTAAAGTATTCTTCAATTAAATATCACGAT